TTCCAACTCCTAACATTCTATGATTCTGTGAACAGTAATGCTCTCTACTGGAGTAAATGAAAATTAAAATTACTGAAAGTGTTGAAAAGGAATTGAAAAATTCACCCTGCTGGAGTGAATTACGCCTCCGGAGTAACTGACATCAGCCATTATTCTTTCTGCAGTACCTGTTGCATTTAAAACATAATGACATTTGCTGTGAAGCACAAGGCTTAAACTGCACTGCATATTCTTTGTGCTGCCCTGAGACTGCAGCTAAGTTTGATGGCTCTGGTTCCTCACTAAGGTCAGCATGTGGTGGTGTAAAAAGTGCCTGTGCTGTCACATTCCCAAGGAGTCCACCTGGGAGAAACAGCAACAGTCGTACTCCTGCTGCCCGTGACCTGGAGTTTGCAGCCAGGAGAGGAGTGGTTCTTGGATCCACCTGCTGGCAATGTGGGCTCTGAGCAGAGTTATCACAAGGTACCTGTCTGTGATCTTATCCACCTGTAAGGAGCTGGAGTTTTTGTGTACCCCTTGTCTTCAAACAGTTGCCCATCTCTTGAGGCACTCAAACTTTGGGGCAGTTGTGCCCTGTAGTAGTCTTCCCATGGCTAAGTCTCGAAGTGTGTGGTAGGAAGCATTAAGGGGCATAGTCCTGGTCTTTAGAGACCTGCCTGATTTCAATTGGCAGAAAGTGCTGCTCCTTGCAGCTGCTTGGATTTGTTTGGCTGGAAAAAGAAAAAATGTATTACCAGTGAGTTTTATTTGATGTGTAAATGCAGTAAAAAGTTGAAGGTTGTTGTGTGAAAAAGTACGAGGGAGAGTCTCGGGGCGTGGGTGTTTATGGTAAAGAGTGGAAGTTTCTGTAAAGCTGGAGAAGGTACATATTTGTACCACTTGCACCTGGTCCAGGAACCTATTTCTAAATGTGTTTTGATTTTTAAAATGAATACTTCAAATTTTTAAGCCTAAAATACATGTGAGTACAGGAACACATTCCAGTTTAGGGTAGAAGGAGTAAAGGTGCATTCTAGATTCCTGATGAGGACTTTGTGTTTCTCCATCTACTGCGTTTCATCTTTCTTTAAAGATGACCTTTTAAAGTTGACATATGTTTGAACAGGCATCATCTATAACACAGGCAGACACCTGTTGTTGAAAAAAAGGCTGCCCAATATTTGATATTGTGTAAGCCTTTTTTTGGTCCTGTACAATTGCCATGCACTGAAGAAAATGTAGCCAACATTCCCCTGGCCACCCAAAGGGTGATCCAGCGCCAGAGTCCGTTGCTAGCCATAACCACAGCCTTTTCTTTGTCTTGTTTTAATTAGCATCTTGGCAGAAGACAGATGTAACCAAGGGTGCTGTGTGTGAAGGGCTCCCTCCAGAACTGGAAGCAGGCATTCACAGCATGTGAAATGCAAAAATAAAACCACAGTGACTGCAGCCCTGGGTTTGGGTGGCAGTCAAAAGCGATAGAGGGAAGCAGTGGACTCAAGGTTGCAGGTGGGTTTGTGGAGCAATGTCTTTGCAGGGAGCATGGTACTCAACTCTTCTGTTAGCCCACCACTCCCTCTGCAAAGGGCAGCTGAGAGTTCATGCTGAGCATCAGCTGCTGAGGACTGCAAAAGAATCTTTAAGTGAAGTAATTTTAATCTACCATTTTATTGCTTGGGGTTGATGAATGTAAAGTGATGTGTATGAAGGAGGGGAAAAATCCTCTTAGAAGTTAATGAGCCTTGAGTCAGCTTTTGGAGATCAGGCAAGAAAGGAAGTCAGAGTTGTAATGATGTGTCTAGGGAAATGTGCTCAGTGTGTAATTGTCAAAAAAAGGCAAATTGAATGCTAGACTTTAAGTAGGAAGGTAATGGGTAGGAGTGGCACAAAAGCAGTGTCTGTGCCATGATACAAACTTGCAGTGTGTATGTACTGTGTGTCTGCAGTGGCTGAGCTGCTGGCAAGTCCACAGGAGCTTCATGCAGCATTACACCTTCAAGAAGGCATTTTCTTTTCTTTTTAACACTCTTGTAATTCTTTCATGTAATCTGTGTAAATTTATAGGGCTTTTAGTAAGGGATTTTAGAGACTTTTCATTTATGTAATTTTCCTACGTATATCAGATTATCTGGTCCAGTAAACTCTATGAGACAGGGACTTCTTCCAAAAGTTACATTTAACAAGATGGTCCAGAGTTACTGCTTTTCATTTAGTTTTATTTATATTCACATGAATGAGCTGAGCGTGTTCTTTAATCCATTGCACTTACATTTTTCCAGAAATGAAAAATTTATTGTATGCTGATAGCTGGGTATACAGTTCTGAGTTACTAGCTGTTCCTGGCTGAGCTAATGGGTTGTTTTAAAAACAAGAATAAGCCCAGAGTCAACTAAATCATTCAGTAATCTATAACCTTTGTTAAAAGATTAGAAGAAGTTTTGGCAGGCACTTGCTGGTGGTTATAATGTGTGCAGGTGAGTAAAATGTGAGTGAGTTAATGCCACTCACAGATAACTCCAAACAAAACTAAATTCTGTTCTGACTGCTTCTGAACCAGAAAAATGAGGGAAAACAATGCCATGTCACTGAATTTCTTTAGTCACTGATGCTTTCTCCTTGACTAGCTCTCACCCCTTTATGAAGTCCTTGACAGCTGTCTGTTTATATTTGAAGCTTCATATTGCTGCCTTTTTTGGGTTGGAGCTGTAGGAACCTTTGTCACCATGCTTCTACCTGCAGAGGTCAGTCCCAGGGTGACAGAGCACTGGACCAGGCTGCCCAGAGAGGTTGTGGAGTCTCCTCTGGAGACATCCAAAAGCTGCCTGGACGCGTTCCTGTGTGACCTACTCTGGGTAATCTTGCTCTGGCAGAGGGGTTGGACTGGATGATCTTTCGGGGTCCCTTCCAACTCCTGAGATTCTGTGATTCTGTGATTCTGTCCCTCCCACCCAGCCTGGTTCAGCTGGGGCAAATTACATTGTCTGGCGTTGACAGGGCATACATGGTAAATAAGCAGCCTGGTCTGGTGGGAGCTGTCCCTGCCCATGGCAGGGAGGTTGGACTGGATAATGTTTAAGGTCCCTTCCAACCCAAACCATTCTATGATTCTGTGATTCTAAATTCTAGACTAAGCTGGTAATGGGCAAGTAGTTTTTCTCCTGCAGCCTCTGCAGACCTGCTCTCACAACAAGTAGTTGACCCTCCTGAAAGCATCAGTACAAATGGTGCATAGACCTGAGGGGAGAGTAGGTTATGTCCATCTACATCCATGTTGTGACATAGCGTGGTAAGAATTCACCAGTTCTTTGCATGAGGTCATACCTGTTTCTGGAGCAAGAGGCTTCATCCGTCCTCTGCCTGGACAGTCACTTTCTCTTTGGTCTCATCTGTGCTGATGGGCTGTGTGCTCCTTCCTCTGTAGTGACCCCCTCCAAATGTGCTGTGCATCTGCATTTTCAGCTCTGAAAATCTGCTTTATCATCCTTTGACTGTTTCCACCTCTTATCTGCCCCATTAAGTCAGGAATGCTATCAACTTTAAATATGCACATAACACTTCATAGCACCCAGCAGAAGGTTTGGATTTACTCTGTTCCCACTTTCTTTCATCACTGCAGTAATCACTCTGTGTTTAACAACGGATGATGAATAACATGTTTGTACACAGTAGTGACTTGCAGTGTTTCTTCTTTTTCTGACTTGCAGACTAATGAAAAACAAATGTCTGCCTACTGCTCACATTAAGATAAGCACCAGTGTGAAAGGGATCATCCTTCTTTGTATGCCACAAAAAGGAAAGATTATTTTGCATGGACTGGCAGTAACCTGCACAGAGAAGTGGACTTGGATTTTAGTGCTTGAGTTGGCACAGGAGAAGCAGTGTTGGGAAATCAGATGTCAATGAGTTGCAGACAAGGGAGGAGAGGAAAGTTGTCTGCTTTTGATGGCACCAGCATATACAATCAGTAACAGCAATCGGCTGCAGATGGGAAGCTTGTGAGGGTTTTTCAGTTGCTGGTGAAGCTTAGGAAGTGGTACAGCACGCATATGAAAAGCGAAGACATGCAAAAAGCTCCTGTGTACAGCAACAGTTGCTGCTGGCAAGTGATCTTCTGCCCCAGCGAAGGGAGAGGTCCCTGCTTTCACGGGAGAGATCTGAGCCTGAGCATCTGTGTCAGGCTTCACACTTGGCCTGGGAGAGAGGAATTCTGAAAGAGGGAGGACTCTAAAGCCATAGCTGCATGGATTGTTGGTTCTTATGAATTGTGAGGCGGTGGGAATGAAATAAAAAATCCCTTGTTTTATTTGCACAGCTTAACATTGTGTAAATCCATGGTAATAAACTGTGGAAAATATCACCCTGTGAGAAACGACTTTTTCAAACACAGTTTTGCTTAAAGCATGCTTTGTGGAGCTCGGGTGGAAATCTAAACCTGTTACTTCCACAGTAAAAAAAAAAGTTGTTCTTGACTTTCAAAGCTGCATGCAACTGGTGACCTTTAATTTCATCTTCATCCATTATGTTCAGTGTGTAACAATATTGTGTTTTCTCCAATTTATTCCTGTCACATGCACTAGCTTTTAGAATAATTCACTTTCAAACGTGTCCATTGGCTTTGGCTACATCAAAGAGCTGTTTTAGACTTTAGACTGTTTAAAAACCCTTGAAATTTAAGAGCTGATTTTTTGGTGCTTATGGAGAGAGAATGTGGGAGGGCATGACTTGTCGTAGGCCTGTAATGCATTGGGATAAACTCTCCTTCCTTTTCTATTGTGAACATCTTAGTAACAAAACAAGCTGGAGTTTGCACACTCCCAGAAGTGTGACAGTCATGTACGTACTCAAACCTAGGGGAGAGAAAATGTTATTAAAAAGATGTGTTCCTAATTGTATTTGACTGCGTATGTTTTTTTGTTTGTTTGTCACATAGTCCCTTTTTGGTGAAGACTTGCTTATGATTCTTATCTTATTTCTGCAGTTTGCAACTTCATGTCTCATGAAAAGTGCCTAAAGAATGTCAAGATACCGTGTTCATGTATTGCTCCAAGCCTTGTAAGGGTGAGTAAGCACACACTGCCTTGTCTCTTGGGATAACAGCCCAAATTTACCACTAATGAACATGGTGTCCTACAGTGGTGACTTGTTAATGTCATAATGCTTAAATCAATTGTGTTAGTCATCACTGAGGCTTTTATAGCTGCTCGAAGACAAAGTTACATTTCCTTTGAAAAGTCCCTGATGTAGTCAGTTGTGGATGGTCTGTCTTTGAAGGCATTCTTTAAATATTACTGTATGTTCTTACTTGTGTGTCATTACCTGGAAGCCTTGCAATAACAGAGTGGGGTGACTGATTGGTATCAGTGCTCTCAGAAAACCGTACTGTGTGTCAGACTAAGGAAGAACTCTGTACACCACCAAATTTTTACAGCAATTATATTTTACTAGGAAAATGCTAAAGCTTCTCTGCCTAGCAAAGGGGCTGTGTTTGGCTTCCCTTGACTGCTGCATCTTAAGAATTGGTTTCACTATTGTGTCCAGAGAATAAAATCATTGTGTGAAAAGCATGGGAGTTCAAAGCCAAAAAATCAGAGGGTAGAACTTCAATTGATGGCAATAATGCAAATTTATTTATTTTAGTAATTAATAAAGTACTTTCTTTCAGAGGCCCTGTGACTTTTTCTCCAACATGACCTCATGCTTGAGAGATTGCTTTTAAAAGGTGTGTGTAAGGTGAATCAACTTTAAAGAAGATAATAGGATGCAATTAAGGTATTAAGCTAAATTGAGGAGAAAACAAAGTGCATTTTCCACCCTGGAAAAAGTGAAAGAAAAAAAAGGGAAGAAAAAGATGAGAAACTTCATAGAGAAGCAGTAAAACACTACAAATACCTTAAGGAGCCATATGCGAAAGTCAAATGAGACATGGCTGTAAAATCGGAATCACATGCATTACTGATCTTGCTGACTGAAAAGTACATTCATGGGAACATATTGTGTGGACCCAGGAACTGTTGAAGGGGAGCTGATTCCTGTCTTTGTATCCTAAAAAGCTTTACAAGTTTCCTTTATATTGTGGAAACTTATGTAGGGGGTGAGACAGTAGAGTTTAAAACAATATGTAGCTTGAGTTACAAGAAGCAGATAGAGAGAAATTAGCTGCTCGTTCTTCAATCTGCTTGTCTAGGTGATAATGCTGGTAGGCTTTGCTACACGCTACTTCCCCACATACTTTTCATTTGGAGAGGTATAACTTAGGCGCCAAAAAGATGTGTGATATGTAGAAAGTTGCCAGTGAAATAGTAAGAGGTATTGCTCTAAGTCTTAGAACCCACCCACAGTAAAGGGACGGGTAGGTAGTGAGAAATGCTGTTACTAAGAATTAGCATGTGCTACTGTTTCAGTGCATTGGCATCAGTCACTGCAGCATGGAAAAAGGAACGCTGTGTCCAATGAGACAGTTATCTGCAAGGGCGTTTTGGGGACTGGTACAAATCGAACTGGGAAATGTTAATTTAAATCAGAGTGTCAGAGTTGTAAACATTTGTAACTACTTCTTTTGTTTATATGCTCTGAGTTTAATAAATTATTCAAAATAGCATTTGTTCCTTTGCTTTTGCATGGTAAAAATCTCTCAGACTTATTAATGTTTGCACTTGCGTCAGTCATAGATGTTAGTGTATTTTTTTCTCTTTTGCCAGTCCTTACTCTCTACCTACTCCTTTTGCTGTGCAGTAGAACTTGTTTTATCTGAGCGTTGTCAGCCCTCAAAGCTGTTTGCAGGTCATTGTTGCTGTATTTAGCTGCAAAGAGCCCTCTGCATTATCTGTGTTGACCTATTAATGATTACATTTTGAAATTACTGGATTGTGCTATTCTTTCTGGGCAGTCTCATCCAAGTTGCATTAATCATGGTCTGCTGTGCAAGTGAAGTCTGCCATATGGGAGGCATTGTTTTGCATGCAGGCTCTGTCGAAGTAAATATTGAACTTGGCATTTGCTTAAAAAACATAACAGAGCAAAACCCCAAATTATAATCGCTTGTAGAATGTGTGGAAAGTTTATTTTCCTAATCTCCCTGCTCTCCTTTCAAATTATTTAAATGTATCTTTTTATGGAAAGATCTGACATATGAGGGAACACTGGTGGGATTTTTTCCTGATAGTTCCTTCTAGAATGTCAATGAGAGTTGTCGTTTGTATTTTTTTTAATCCCTTGGATTTAATTTAGAGAAGATGGCAATTGTTAAAGCTCTTTAGATTGTGTGTCACTTCAAACTAAGTCAGACTGTCAGAGAATAATTTTTCCTTTCCAGGGTCAAGTAAAGCTCCACAGACTGCACCCAGCCTCAGATCGCTGCGGATAAGTTCAGTCTTAAGGCTGCCCGAAGAATCTTTTTGCACTATCATTAATGATTATCACCTGCATTCAGTGTTCCAGACTGGATCCAGTTTGTGATGTTTCAAAACAAGACTTCATGGATCAGTCTTCTAAACAATTTTGTGTTTATATGGTTTGCAGGGGATATAATTTGTTTCACTGGTAAGGTCTCAGCGACCTTTCCAAATTCAAATACTCTCTCCTCTACATTTCCGTAAGTATTTGCCTACTCTGAAGTATGTATGTTAAAAAAACAAAAAGAGGGGGGGATGGACACGCAAACGCCACCCCCAGAACGCCCAACAAAAACCAAAATAACAGTGAAAACAAAACTTCTTTGTGTCTGGAATACAAAGTTTTATTTTCCCTTATAGATTGGAAATGAAACTATATTGGATGTTTTTTACCCCTTAGATTTGCCATAGAAGTGTGTGTGTTTTCTGTGTAACTGTTCTTTGAAAACTAAATGGAAATGAGAGTATATTGAAAGTGGATTTAGTGAAGTTAGGCATTTGTTATGGTTGTTCTTCCCTGTTGTGGTGGTGCTTTGCTGTAACAAAGCTGTGTTTCTAAACATTACCACTTCAAGAAGTGTTGATAGGCTGCTCATGGAACTTTGTGTGCTTTTGTTCTTAAAGCCAGGTTGTTTAGAATGGAAAAATGCTGGTTTTGGTCGAGCTTTTCTTGAAGCTTTCTATGCTAAAAATAAAAGTTGGCTTTGTATTTAGCTCAGAACACAAGCAGCAGCTGCGTTCATGGGCTGTGATAGTGAAGAGGAAGGTTGTGGTGGTCGCAGACGTCTCTGGGCAAGCAGGTGCTGCCATTGCCTGCTGAGTGGAGTCTCTTCCTCTCACTGCTGGATTTAGCTGTGTACAGGTGGTCATTTGGGTCAGTTCCTTCTGAACTGAAAGCAGAAGAGAACTGAGAAAGATACTTGGGTTAGGGTAAGACCCTCTAACCCCAACTCTGATAATCTACTCAGTATTGGACAGATGCAGGAGAATCTATTCTGGATATTTATCTTAATGCTTTGTATACGCTACAGCAGCATGTCATTTTTCTGCAGCTGGAGGACTTCTGTGCTGGGACACAACGTTTTTTTTGTTTACTTTCTCTCCCTGCCTCTGTTCCCTGCCTGAGAAGCAGTGGGTGCCTCCAACAAAGTGCAAGACAAAGGCCATCAAGATTTGGTTACGGCCTCACTTGCCTTGTAATAATAAACCCTCCAGTCTCTTTCAGCTGTCAGAAATGTCTGATGGATTTTTGTGTGACTACGTCAGAGAATCAGCTTTTAAGGAATGTTGTTGCAAATGGCTCATAGACAATTTAACAAATGGGAAGGAGCTTGGCAAGGTGGGAAAGAGAGTTTGGTGTGGTTGGATTTCTGGAGAGCATAAGGGAAAAAAAATTCAGAATCCTATTTTGAAAAACAGTTTTGTGGTGGTAGTGCATTGCAGGTGTTGGAGGTTTTGTATCAACATGGATAAAAAAAGTGCTGCAATGAACCCTTGCTGAACTTCTGTTGCTTCTCCCATCAGACTGTCATAGAAGACAGGCTGAAATGCAATGTTTGTGGGTAAGATGGTGCCGTATTGTTGTTAAATCCCAGCTTCAAATTACTATGTATTTGGTGTACATCATCCTAGAGACCTTTTATCCTATCCCTCTTTTTGGTGGTGGTAGAGTTAGATCTGTAATTTGAACTCAAGTTCACAAAATACATGCTTAATATGTTCCCTCTTTTATATTATATATTATAAAGACAAGTTTGGGAAAGTCCTTTCTTCTCTCACTTTTATTTGTCTGTGACAAAGACGCTTTGCTGGTGTGAGAGTTTTTTCACCAGGTATCCTAACAATGATTGGACCACAAGCCAATGTTTTTAGCAGGGTCTGTTGCAATAGGACAAGGGGTAATGGTTTTAAACTAAATCAGATTAGATATAAGGAAGGTGGTGAAACACTGGCACAGGTTGCCCAGAGAGGTGGTGGATGCCCCATCCCTGGAAACATTCAAGGTCAGGCTGGACAGGGCTCTGAGCAACCTGATCTGGTGGAAGGTATCTCAGCTCACTGCAGGAGGTTTGGACTGGCTGGCCTTAAAGGTCACTTACAGCCCAAACTATTCTATGATTTTACCTGGACACTTGCTGGGTAGCCTTGAACACCTTCATGAGAAGGTCTGCCTCTAGTTCTTCAGCAGTTGACCCATACCTGCATTGTTCAGCGAGACAGTTGCTTGGAGTACCAGCCACATGGTATAATTCAGAAGCCAAATGAGGTGTAAAATTGCTTGCTGGTAATCTTCGCACTGTACCAAGGTTTCCTGCTTTTCCTCCTCAAAGTGATTGTTCATAAAGTCAAGACAGTTTATTATGCTCAATTGAAACTTGATGCAAGCTGCTTGGTAGCCTGTGAACTCCCAGATGAGGCACATAGCTGTATCAATGACTCTTCAGGTTCAGAAGCAGTATGGCTGTGTTTGTTTCTTTTAATTGTTAATCTTTATAAAAGGAGATGGTTATTGATTTCTTCTCTAGAAATAAAAGCAAGGAGTGACTGTCTTTTGCAAATTGTTTGATTTCTCCAGTACAAAAGTGCTAGTCCAAGCAATTCTTGGTTGCAGTGGGAAGCTCTTATGCAAGTCTCATTTTCCAGTTGAAGTATCATATATTCATCATT